CTCCCCCTTTTATGCATCCCTCCGACGGAGGAGCAAGCCAAACGAGCTGAAACATCCCACACAGCCAAGATTGGGTTGAGAAGATGTGGGATGCTGCGCATTCAGGACGATCCTTTCTTGTCACATCAGGCAAATCTGTATATCCTCAACGGAACATGGCCGAGCCACCACCTGCCTCGTGGCTCGGAACAGTGCACCACCATACCACGAATGGGGCTGGAGGATAGGGTTACACTGCTGGAGCCTGGCCGCCAAAGGCAGAGAATCTGATGTCTAGAATCGGAATCGTCCCGGATCTGCCGTATCAGGTATCCTGAACAAAGATCCAATATGATCAATCTCGTCAGTGTACTGTTTCCGCGCCAATCACTTCAGATGCATCGCAAGCATTCCTCTTGGCGCTGCTTGGCACGATAACAACCGCGCGGTGAGGATTCTCGCCCAGATTGTTGGCATCAACCAAGGTTTCAGGCCTCCTTGGGCCTTTGGAATCTCACTGTGGGGACTGCCAAGCAGCTGGTTCAGGCATCCCCTCGTGTCCATTGACTCCAATCCGCGTCTGACGAAAGATCTGGGCTGGATGATGATTGCTGACTGTGTTGGCCTTGCCTACTCACAGCTGAGGCGGAGTCGCGGACCATCGAATGTCTAGATCACACCCAAAGTCTCCAGACATCTGTTGATACTCTCAGGGGTTTCAAGATGAGAACAGGAGAACAGGAGAAAAGGAGAAAAGTTAGACAAGTAGGCCTTACGGGAGCCTAATTCCTTCAATGATCCGGAGCATTCTGCCCAGACTGGTCCATCCTGTGGGTGCAGATTTCAGAATAACCCCCCTAGCCCAGGTGCCAAGGAAGGATCGCCATAAGATAGACAGCTAAATTTATATAGTTGTTTTAGTGAGTCTTGTCCGAGACGTAGTGCTAACTGTATATCTGCAATGCACGATATTGCACAGCCTCCTCCGCCAGTCCACCAGTCCGCCAGTTAACTAGTGTGCTTTTGCTGAATACGAAAAGGATCAACACTCACTTGTGAAAAGAGGGATCTTGGGGCGTTCCAGCCAAGAAAATCAGGTGGGTACATTCGCTGTAATTTGCCAACTTGAGTCTGTGTCTTTGCTTATTCTGGTGACTGTTTGCTCTGACTGAGCATGGATCCATGTATCTCTGATTGGATGCTCTCAATTGTTTATCTCTGGCTACGTCAGAATTCCAGATTACCTTTGCCTGATAAGAAAGAGTCGCCATAGTCTTGGAACTAGTGAATCTTGAAAGCGTGAACTGCTGAATCTTGGTGGGCGCCACCCGCGTAGCAGTCTAGCATTCCGATATTCGGACATATGGACAGAAACTGTCAATTGATGTCATTTGCTCTCTTTTGACTACTAATATTCCATCTTCTTCGACTTGGCGACCCGTTCGACACTTCGTCATGCTTTGCCAAGTCTGCGTCGAGAGTTCTCAGATAAGGCATAGCGGTTCAACTCCCGTCGGACATCCTGGTAATTGCCTAAAATGCCTAAAAGGGCCATATCACGAGTGCACGTCTCACCTCTTCTACTCTTCTATTCTAATCCTCGAAAGTACTGGAAGATCCTAATCTGCTAGATTGGGTATTGTGGGGGTCGGGGGATCTGTAATCTGAAGCTATTCGGAACATTGCTCCGTATTGATATAGCGAATTAGCGATTCTATACGCCAGTGCCCCACGGGGCCACGGCCACGTCCCCACTACCCCTCGATATATTCTGTTATCTAAAGCGTCAATATCTTAGGGACGGGCCCGCGGGAAATGACGATATCCCCTTTGGTTACGGACTTTCAATGAAGACCTTGGCGCTGCAAAGCGTGTCTATTAGTGCTACCTTCAGTTTCACATTTGCGGGGTGAGCCCTATCTATTCATGATTGTGGTCGACTCCAGATCCTGCTTGCCTGCAGCAGAATGACCGATCGACTGCATTTCTGCCACGCGTTGGTGCTAGGGGTAATAGACAGCATGCCATGGTCCGCACATGTAATAGGCTGCTCATTCAAAATCCGGCTGACCAGAAACAATCGTCTGCCAGAGATGTCGGTCAAGGGAATGGCGTGAGATCGTAGTTTGTGCTACATTTGTAAAGAGCCCCGAACGTTGAGGCCAGGTGGCCATCATCCGGTAGTTATTCTTGCAGGGCATCCTCGCACAATTCTTCCAAGGCTGCCGTCAAACTCGAGGTAGACATCCGTGCGGTCCAGTCACACGCATCGACATGCAGTCAGCTTATTTTTCAGACTCGCTCTGCTCAGGCGAGTGATATCCCCGGCTGGCCTTCCTCAACTCCCTCTCCAGCGCTTCGGTTAGCGCCTCCAGTAACCATTGCACCTCCGTCTTCTGTCCTAACAACGGACTCTTGTAACCAGTCCAATCCCATTTCGGATCCCCTTCCTCTCCATCTGTTTCACCTCCTTCGCTGGCTATGAGATTAAGGAAATACTCCCACTCTTGGTAATTGAACTCCTTGTGCAAATTGCGCGTGGCGTAGTCCATCATCCTGCGTACTTCCCGAAACAACAAGTAGTGGTGGTGATGTATTGTTTCCGCAGTGACGTCTCCCCGTGCCCGAGCCGATTCTTCTTTCTTGTGTTCGTCTGCCTCAATCGCGTTGCGCTCCTCCTCTTCTCCCTGGTCAACCTGATCTGCGTTCCCGGCTGCCGTGGCAGCAGCGGTGGCAGCAGCCTCCTCAACGTCCACCTCGTCAGGCTTCTTGTCCGCGACAGCCTCGGTAAGGAATCTCTCTTCCCACGAAAGGCGGGACAGATCTTTGATCAATTCCCTGATAGGTTTATCCCCAGGCAGAATGGTCAGCTCCCCAAGGTAGATTGTGAAATCGCGGATCGTCCGTACCAACGTGTCACCAACGTTGGCAATGAGCAACGTCACCGTCGGAACAGCGAGCAACGTCCAGAAAACAAAGAATGACCGTTCCCATTCGGAAGTAGCGTGAAAGTCCCCATAACCGATAGTGAACAAAGTTGTGTAGGCAAAATACAGCGCCTCAAAATACGTTAACTTTTCATTCTGTCCAGGGAGCCAAAAGGCGATCGCTCCCAAGAACCAGAGCATCGTCCACACGGTCAACGACGTGGCGAGTGAGATCCATTTTCGCTCGAGCGTGGCAACCTGCCGCACACGTCGCATCAACTGGAACTCCCGCCGTTGTCGGTCTCGGTCACTCTCGTCCCTTTCCGGCTGCAAGCGTGGGACCACATCCCGCAGGTGTTGATGGTCAGATACTGCTTCGCGTACGAGGAACCGGCGTGTCCTTTCTGTCACAGATTCCGCCATCTTCTGCCGTCCCTTCTCGAGCATTTGCGCGCGGATGGAGCCCACGATCAACCCCAAAATCAGAATACCTCCGACGGCATACGGAAACAAAAGCCCCCGTCCTTTATGCGTCTTGGGAGCAAAGTCACCGATACCAATAGTCAGGAGCGTAAAATCCGCCCAATACACAGCATCGAGATACCTCCAGCCTTCAATCCTTGCGTACACAGCAGCTCCGCCGAGGAGGTAGATGAGAAAAAGAATGGTTTGCAGCATCAGACTCCGCTGGCTGGTCGTCAGTCGAAATTCGCGGCTGTAGTGGCCCCGATAGGCCCCGTAGACGGTAATTAGGAGGAGGGAAGAGAGCACAAAGTATAGCCCTGCTGCAAAAGCTCCATAATAGTAGGATCCAGTGAGCCACCGATGCCTACCGCTATCCGAGCCGGTTTGTACTTTCGATGCTGCAAAAATACACAGCAGGCAGGTCAAGAGCAAGGATGAAATATACCAGCCAATTATGATTATAGGCTGCGCAATAGAGAACGCGATGCGCCGCGCCATTCCCCACAAAAGGACAAAATTCGACATAATGGCGCAGCCAAGTGATATCGCATTGACCACAATGACCCTGACACTTCTTTAAGCTCACAAGTTCCGGTCATTTATGTGTTCGTATACGTACCAATCCGGATCCCCGATGCCCCTTGTCTGTCCATTGCCCGCCTCGGACTCCATACTCCATTCCTGGGACAAAGAGCATATGCTGAACGCGCTAGCCATTGGTCCCAGAGTGCCCTGATGGAAGACGTTAACATCATCTTCTTCCCGAAGTCATCAACGTACAGCTAAAAGAGGATACGCAGTGCTTGCGAGCCACCACCAGGCGGAAAGAGCATGATGAGGGACTTCCTCAATGATATTCTGCGCCTCGTCCTGAGCATTCTCGTTGACCATGGTGTCGAGATTCCCACAGTGCTCTGCCCCTAGCCTGAGTCGGGTCTGTCGAACTCATACTAATCAATGTATGCTTGCACATTCATTTTCAATGACAGGACCACATTCAAGCAATCACCCTTGAGCCCTCGCAGAACGAGGGCAAAGATCAAGCTGATCACTGCAGCTGCTACGCAAGATGTTTCCGTCATCCGGAAATCAACACCGCCGTCATCCACAACGTCACGTCACGTGGTGGCAGTCTGTCATCCACAAGGCCAAGGACCAACTTGATTGAAAAGCGGTTCGATCCGCGAATATACATATTTCACTTCCCTAGTGCTGTCCAAGGAAATGATACATCAAGAGGACAGTATCATGGATACAAATGGATTGAAGGAAAAAAAACACATGGGAAGAGTAAGCGAAGGAGAGCTAGCAAGACAGTTTCAAACAAATTTCCATCATATACGGTCCTGCCTGACACATAGGATCGTTCCAAGTTTGTACATGGCGCCAGTCCACTTGATATAAGGGCGATGACGAAAGGGGGTTTATGTGCAATGCCATATGCGTGAAGAAGCGGACAAAATGTATTGAGAAGAAAGGCACGGTGAAAGAAGAGGAACGAAGATGGACACCATAGCAGGGAAGACTCCAAAACTCCAATCACCCAACATAGCTTGTGCATGGCTATTTTTTTTAAATGGCCAGCGTAAAATCAAAATTGCAACAACGAAAGAAAAATTACCAAGTTGATCATGGCAGAGGGTATCGTGAGGGTTCTCGGGGTATCGACATCGGTGGCATGCGTCCACCGACACCAGTAGCGCCGGCTCGACCAATACCGCCGGCGCGGAGATCAAAGTCAGGGTTGTTTTCTAGCAATACGTTTTGTCTTTGCTGGGCGGGAAGAGCTGGCGGCGGCGGCGGACGCCATCGAGGATTGATAGGCCGCTCGGAAATGGAGGTGAAATGACTTATCTCGCTAGTAGTAGGTGAGCCAGGGGCTTCGGCCAAGTCATCCATCAGTTTGGGCTCACCAGCACCCGGAGTCAGAGCAGATGGCAGTGCACGGTTGGCTGCCGCTGGTTGATGTGGCTCAGCGAAACGAGGATCCACGTCTTCATAGTAATTGTCCCCCGAATTGGAACGAGCGTGCGAAGCTGGATGATTTCCTCCAAGAGCATGAACTGGCGAAGGTGAAGGCCCGACGCGAAGATCAGCCGGAGTCCAGCCAGCGCGGGGAGGTATGTATGATCTGGATCGGCTAAATTAGCAAGAAGCAAGAGCAAGGGTCTTGAGTGTAGGGCAATATCTCACGCTGATCGGCTATACAGACTCGAAGGGCTGAGAGGCTCCGGGTGTCCGTCGTTGGACACCGCATGTGGCTGCTCCTCCTCCGACACTGCATCGGGGCCCAGTTCGACAGCAGAGTCCGTGTGCCTGGGTTGCGATGTCATTTCGATCGCTCGGCCGATTGGCGCTGTTTCTGACGGCGACACTGCCATGCCAATTGTACCCGGGGAGGGCTGTCGCGCTGCTCCAACAGGTGACGGCCCACGATAGTCGGAACCGTTTTCACCAGGCCGTTGTGACGGTCTCGGGCCCGGTCCGTAGTTGTAGGCATCGTAGCCAGGATTGAGGCCTCCTGAGACGGGGCCGTAACCGTAGCCCGCAGGATTTGGACCCCGCTGCCCCCGTCCCATCATACCTGAAGGGGCTCCTCGCATGGGGCCCATTGGCCCGCCCCTACCATTGGGCGGAGGTCCTCTGGGACCTCCGTAGGGACCTCCCCGACCATAGCCTCCACGAGGAGGGTATCCACCTCTTCCACGAGGAGCGAAACCGGGCGGAGGCGGCCCTCGTCGCGACCCCATACTGCCGTCCGAATACTGGGGACGTAAGCGAGGATCACCAGGTCCAGGTCGCATCCGAGGCCCTGGGCCGTAGGAACCTGCATATGGATGGTTTCTTGACTCGTCGAAAGGTGCACTCGAGGGCACTCCATCGCCGTGGCCTCGTGCAGCATACTGACTATCTGGCGCAGGAATATCAGTCGGAGCTACCTGAGAATTGAGAGGCGTTTGGTCATCATCGCTAGAATGTGTCGTCGTGCGGAAGGTAGCGAACATGGGGCCGGACTCTGAATTAGGGGAGGTGGTAACAATGGCCTCTTTCGCTTCGGCGTTCAAGGCCTCTGATCTTGGACCAGTGAATCCGCTGGCGACAGCCGCCGCCGCCGCCGCATTCTGTCGGTTGTAGTAATTCACCCCACTCATTTCGGCATTCTCTGCGATTCGCCTCTTTCTCGCTTTGCGACTAACCAGAGTCCGACGCATCGCGCAAGTGACCACGCCGCTGATCACCAGCAGAATTGTGGCACCCAATACAATCCAGCCTCCCCATCCTAGATGCGGTACAAAAAGAAGAATGTCCACCAAGAAGGCGAGGAGGGAAACGAGGAGTGTCGGAAGCAGGAGGATCAAGAGCGCCAGAAGATATCGAGGCGAATGCGACGGGGCGTGTAGGTGAGCAGCCGCGGCGAGGCAAAGGCAAACGAGGGTGAGAAAGGCGGCGACCGGGTGAACGATCAGAATGGAGGATAGGGACCTTCGAGTACTCGATGGCAGATCGAACTCGCTATTGTCGGTGTTTGAAATTTCGTCTGAAGGATGTCAGCTACGGTAGCCGCCAACCTGCTGCTGTATGGGCGAAACCACATACCAGTAGTGTAGCCGATATGGATGTCGGTGCATTGGCCGGCCTTGCAAAAGCCGAAGACACCATAGTCCACATGATTGAAAGTCGCTAAAGGGATACCCTGGATAATTGGGGTGGAAAGAACGGAAAGAAGCAAGAGAACAAAGGCCGCCAGGAGAAGGATGGTGAGGGGCGTTGCAGGTTTGAGTAACATGGTGGAAGAGGGGCGGCGACTTCGCCGTTAACGAGAGACGTGAAGGACAGTTGGAGAGCGACCAAGGGAAGGGTGGTCAAGATAGGTGACGGAATCCTGGATGACAGCGACACACGCGGTCGACGCAGAACCTGGAAATCACAGGATTGAAGGTGACATTGCTTGCTCTTCTCCTGAAACTCGGGGCGGAAGATCCAGTGGGTACGATAAGAGATGAGAAGGGGCAGATCAAAGGCCAGACAATCTACATCAGTTTCGATAATCGGACCCTCAAAATCATATAACAGGGGATAGGTCACAGGATGAGGAACAGATAGCTATCTTTAACTGAGGGAAGAAGAAGTAGCCAGTCTGGCTTTGGCTCTGACAAAGTCTACTTAAGCGGACTACTCCGTAGTTAGTATGCAATTATTGCTGCGCATTACGGATGACTTCTTCCAAACGAGCGGGCGGCTGCCTCAGGCGTCCATGGTCGCCACTTACACTTCGATTTTGCTATCTTTGACTGAACTTTATAGAATACTCCACGACTGTTTCAATATTATTGTAGAAATAGGAGTCTCGGACTTTGGTATCGCCTACATTGATGATCAATATCTATTAATTACTGCTTTTACGCTGTTGCCTTTCCAGTCCTCCTCCCTGTCTTGTACCCTCTTTGTGGCGGAGTCGGCCATGCTAATTTCATTGTCATTGAGAACATCCTTCCAATGTCTCTAGGCAAGGTTTTTCTCCCCTGATTTGTTCTACCACAGATGACCGTTATGTGGGGCTGATATTTTCCAATTAGCCATGCGTGTGAGATTACGCTAGCAATAAATGAGTATCCTGATTTCAAGCCCTTCAATGGTGGTTCACGTGATAGTCTTGTTGGACCTGCAGTATGATCAACGAGCGCATGTGCTGAACTTGTAGATAGATACTAGATAAATCCATATTCAATCGACTTCTGCTTTGGTTCATGTTGACACATTTCTCTGGCAATTTTCTGTATCTCCACGTTGTTTGAGCAAGACTCGTGCAATGAACCAAGGAAGACTAGTGCAAACGCAATTTGAAAGTTGTACCCGCCGTCAGACTGTTGTTACTGATCAGACCATGAAGATTGAAGAGAATGGAAGTCTCTGGTCAATAATCCAGTAATCTCATGGTGAACAAAATTGACAGATGAACTTTGAGCCTCGTATAGGGAGCATCAAACGAATCTACTTTGAAGTTAACCCGCAATCCCTTCAGATGTCCGTGTACTTGAGTTCAAACTCCTACGGCGAAAGTCCGGGGGAGCGTGCCACCAAGTTATCAACACCGTAACAGTGCACTCTTACGGAGTACACACCCCGGATTGGTGGGTTCTTTGGTGGATCTTTTCCAGAAGCCTATCTATATTCAGAAGGGTGGGTCCATGAACGATGGCGAAGATAAGACAAAAGAGCCACAGACAAAATCATAATCTGTACTCTGTAGACTGTAGACGGATTGCGCGCCCCTATTAAGCTCATCTCAGAAAACTTGACAACTAGTTGAAGTTGATGTCTGCTGTGGAACATTCTAAGCTTTCAGTTCAGGCCAAGATAATTCATTCGCTTGGTGCGTCGGCCCCAGAATATCATCATGCAACCTGCAGAGAGGGTCTATCTTCATTCCATCATTGAACATGAGTAAGGGATTTCTGATAGGATATGTGTCCAGTCTGCTCTCATAAACATTGTATATCAATGTTGCATTTCCCCACTCCCTCCCTGCAACAAATATATCATGGCGCATAGAATCCTAGCTGCTGACCATATATGGTTGAGCTGCTAAGGCATCAAGGATTCTGGCCGAAAGCCAGCGTTGAGTCGCTACACAAGGACGCCAAACGTTCAGCACCGGTGGCACATGAGTAGCACAAAAATGAGGCGTAAACAGAGTGAAATAAAGGATTCCAAACTACATGCATTGGGCCGTCCTAGCACGATCAGCGACCAGTCTCATCTTCTTTTAGGCAGGGTGGGGGTTGTCATCTCGCGCACTCGACCGGAAAAGAGGCTTGAAGAACTTACTCCAGAGTGAGAGCAAGTGGAAAGCGTGAAGGGTGGTCTCATGTGACACTGCAGGAAAAAGCATCACCTGCGACGCAGGCTACCGTTCAAGCCCAGCATCTAAGGAACACTTGAGCAACTCGAAACAGGTGATTAAGATCTGTCTATATTTAAGAGACAAAACCTGCTGTGTGCCTTCCTGAACACGGAGAATATTGAAGCTCTGCGCTAAGATACCCCGCAGATCAACTTGAGGACCTATCCAGTCATTCTGGTCGAAAAAATAGCTGGTCCAACAATTTTCATTAGGTTTGTTCATCTTATCTCGGCTCATCTGACTCCATATATATGATCGTACTTCATCCTCAAGGGCACGTACCAACACGAATCCTGAGCGCCCTCGACATGCTTGGCTTCTGGAAGGCGTCGGCTTGGCTTCGATCCAGACCCGATCCGGACGAGGATGATGACCAACGCGTTCTATTACTCCCCAAGGACCGTCACAACATCCCGCTGACTTCTCTTCGTCCTCGACCAAGAGACGGGCTCCCAATCACAAAACTCTCACAGCAGCGTTATGTGCACTTTGGAATTGGTGGCGCTGGAAACACATGCAAGTATGGCTGCCCTTTCGCATCTGGTCCTCTGGTCGGCTCAAATCCGTCTATATTGTCTTCTCCGGATTACACATTATTGCTCTTGATCATAATTTTCATAATTGTCTACTAACCGTGCAACATAAAGGGCCTCCATATGTGATAAACAGCCAATCAGATTAACTCCGCAGGGGATGCATCGGCTGGCCCAAAGCAAGGGAAGTACTCGGGAAGCAGAATAAGACGCGAGAGGCTCAATATGACGCAGGTCAGAACAAGCAGAAGTAATTGGGAGAGATATCTCCAAAATCAGGGAGAAGAACGCGCATGGATAATCATCAGTACCGGTGCGGAAATACAGACTCCAACGATTCCATGATTTCCTTGACTTTCATCCGCTTCGGTATGCACCAAAATCAACACATGCGATCCGCATCCCTGGACTGCTGCAATGTCTCAGTTCTGAATGTCTGTCAACATTGCTGACTTGGTCTCCATTGTTTCTGGGACAATGTCAATCTTCTGATCGGGTCAAACCTCCTTCTCTGTACCACAAACATTACAATATGAGCAACTCCGCTGCGGGCCAAGAGCCTGAAGCTTCTCAGTATCGCGCCAGTGCTAGTACTTGCGGCCATGTCTCTCTTCTCCATTGTCAATGTTCTAGATTCTCCTAAACCCTGAGGAGAATTCCAGTTAAGGGTGGCCATCGCAACGCGGAATCCAGTAGACCTGCCCCTGCCGGGACCCGCACCCAAGTATGCTCGACCAACTTGCCTTATGGGTCGAGCGACATAAACAAGTCCACCAAGATCTAATGCCACATGTCAATATTTTGCTTCATCTGTGTGCTTCTGTGCTTCCACTACCCGTTCTCGACCTTGCGAAGTCGGGGGGATCGTCCTGTCTTTTCCTTTTCTCCTTCTACAGTTGTTCATCCACGACATCTTGTTCCTATGGGAGTCCAAGCGGTCCCAGCTGTTCCTTTTCCCTCGCTTGCTCTGTGTTCCGAAGACAAGGTGCTCTGAACATGGCGTCTTTTCCTGCGGTTGTCTGTGTATTAGCATTATTTCTTCTTCCGACACGCATCTGCGCAACAGCGCTGGACAAGGAATCTGGAGACTTTTACTTTCCACCTCTAACATATGTTCCTCAGCTACTGTACATTTCCCTGTGTTCGGCCTCTACTTATCCAGGCTGACTTGAGCAGTGGAATCCCTTTCACAGTCCAGGACGACACTCCACAATCATGGCACAATCCTGCTACAAATGTTACCCACCAACCAAATCAACAGAGCTCATCTTGTACAGCCGCAGGGACCGGCTCATCAGGATTTTGGTACGAAAAGATAACCCACAACGGCCAATCCTCGTTTCTGAGCACGGACGTGAAGAAGAACTACCCAGTCTTTCGTAATGTGGTCAAAGATTTCGGCGCCGATAACACCGGCCAAAATGACGCAGCTGGTGCTATTCAAAATGCCATAGAAGGTATTCCGGCCTCCTCAAAAATCTAAGCAGAGCACCAAATGCTGAAATTCAGACAGCGGGGGCATCCAACGGTCCCAAGCGCAATGCTCGGAGCATGGGCACAACTGGTCAACCAGCAATCGTGTATCTTCCCAGCGGCACCTACCTGATGAAAAGCAGTTTGCAGTTTTTCGTGGGTACCGTCCTGGTCGGGGACCCGACAAATCCACCGGTCTTGAAAGCAGCACCGAATTTCCGCGATGACCATATTATTTTCGCGAAAGACCCAAATGTCGAGGGCACAAACAACTTTTATATCGGCCTCAAGAATGTAATTCTGGATTCAACCAGTGTCGATACAGCACGAACCATCGCGCTGGTTGACTGGACAGTGAGTCAGGCGACGCAGTTGACTAATGTGGTGTTCAACATGCCCACTGGTTCAAATGCACACGTCGGGCTGACCACTCAGTACGACTACAACAGTAACATTATTGTGGTGGGTACTCTTTGATATAGAGTTTGAATGTCTGTTAACGTGCCATCGATTTGCAGAATGACCTGCGTTTCAATGGGGGCGCTATTGGGATGAAACTCAGTGGACAACAATGGGTTTTTAAGAACCTCACTTTTAGTGGGACATCCACCGGCGTGTTAGCTGGAGGAACGAACATTGTGTTCCTCGGATGCCGGTTCGAGAATGGGAATGTTGGAATAGACGCCAATGGTACCTCCGGATCCCTGACCATCATCGACTCGAAGGGATCCGGGTTGAACTCATTAGTCGTATCTGCCAACTCTGGGGGCGCTGGAAATGCGATCATCCTGGAAAATGTGGAGAATTCTGGCACCACTGTCAGTCTGGGGAACAATCCAGTGCTTAGTGGGAATATGCCGGACACTTGGGTGCATG